GAAGGCGTAGCTCCAAGATTTTGTCTTGCTGATTCAGCACCATGTTGATGTGGCTTAGAGTCTCTAAACTCCTAAGGAGTTTTGATATAGCATAAGCTGTTGGGCTTCGGATATCAATGGCTGACATTGAGCCGTTGATTAAATGAAAAGTTTGGTTCGAAGAATGTGTAATTTGCCATTCACTGTTCGAGGAATTCCATGGCATATCTACTGGCCTCAGTTGTATAACACCAGTCTCATCATTTCGCATGAAAATAAAATCTTCTATGAACGAATATTGAAAGTCGTTTATGAGAATATGCTTGGGAATTACCTCAAAGCATTCATTCCCTTTACGGGTCCGAATCACTAATTCGTCACCGAGCATCTTGAAATGAACCTAAAAAAGTCAGCATGCGTTTGAGTTCAAATATCGAACTATTGATCTTACTTGTTGTCCACATATCTCTTTCCTAGTCTCAAAAGACATTCCGGGCATTGTTGATGGGACAACATCCAACATTTTCTGTATACACATAGCATTAGATTTAGAAGATCACACAATCAGATACACACTGACCTGTCCGAAGATTCTTTGATATGTGGCATGGGATTCATAATCGCGAGGTAGACGAGCAAGTGGAGATCCATTGATGAGCAATTCTCCGTCTAGAATGTTCAATTCAACAAATAGTGGTTCTTGGCCATTAAATGCTGCTGTTTTCGTTCTTAACCATCTTTCGTTTGGCAGATCAAGTGCTTTCCAAGGAGCTCCAGAGTTGTAACCAGACCAGAGAGCTTGAATGGTTATGTCAATACCTGCGGAATCATTCAATATAATGCCACGCAGAATTAATTCGGCAGAATGATTCAATCTGTCAAAGCGTCTCAACCCAAATTGGATCATACTATCAAGTCCATTAGTTAATGCAGGACGTCTATCGCGAACTGTGATCAAGCTCTCGACAAAAATAGTTTGAGTTTCGGTGGAGCTCAGCATAATCCCAAGATTATTGATTTCGACGTCGAATGAACCATGACACGCCAATGCCAATTCAAGGGCTCGAATTTTTAGTGCTTCAAGCTCATCTTCCTCTTGGCAATCATGGAGTATGCGGACAACATCTCTAGTCCACGCAATTGTAATAACCTGAATACGTAAGAGTAGACGAATACAGCTCTCGTGCACTTTTTCCTTAGTTGAGACACTGAGCAACCGGGCGGTTAGTATAATCACCACGCGAACAGTTCTGACATTCTGCCAATTAGACTCTACACTTGAAATTATTGCGTTTAAAGCCTGCAAGAGGTGTATCCCGAAGGCTTCGTCCTCGAGGTCTTGGTGTGAATCTCGGCATGCAAGCTTACAAGCTGCGGGACCAACCTGCCATGCCGTCTGCGTCAGTATCTGGAAGACTTCATCAGAGTTCAAATCAAGTAATCGTGCTTCACTCTCTCGTAGAATATTAAGCCATTGAAGATAATGCCCACATCTAAGAGATGCAAATTGATAGAATTCGTGCAAAGTCAATGTGGCCGGGCAGTGTGCTTGATTTGCAAGAGTCTCGTTGGTGGTAGACTTTGTGTCTTCTAGAAAAGCTTCTAGCTTCATGAAAGCTGGAGCGAATCTCATGGTGCATAGCCTTCGGATACTCAAATTTGCACAGGAATCACCTGTGACTGCTATTTGGTCAGATCCGTCATTATCTACAACCATGTAGTTTAATCCGGTTGGTTTCAGAATATTTTCGACTGTAGCCTCATGAACAAACTTATGATTGTAGTGAGAAATGACAAATGGCTTATCACGGGACCCCAAGCGAATTCTCCTCAAGGATTTCTGAACATAACGCACCAAAGCAGTCTTTCTGAAATTGTAATATTCGATATCCTGAGAAACTCTTGGTTTTGATGAGAATGTGTCGACTAGAAGGCTATACGTGCTATCACGCCAAGCTGAGAAGACTTTAGGCACGTCTAGCTCAAATATTATTGACTTTGCCTTCAAATCATTTTCTGGGAGAGGGCGTTCAAAAACATTTATTGTAACTTGCTTGGCCGCAGTTTTCGCAATGCATTTCGGACAATAACTCGCGTGAACAGTGACTTCATGGCGTTTATATCCTCGACCGCGAATAACCTTTTCATATCTGCATTTGGTTGATTGATCACTTTCTTTCCAGGCATTGTACTCTCGAATCTTTGCCTCCAGCTCGAGCAATTTTGCTTCGCGGTCGGAGTGAGCATCAGAGTTGATCCTCTCTAGTAACCTCTGGTGCTGGAACGATTGATCGAAATAGCGAACAGGAAAGCTTCTTCCAGTGTTTGTTGTAGAAAAAATACATGGCATCTCGGCGGAGGATGCAGCATTTCTATTAGTGATATATTCTTCGATGGAGGCTAATCTAAGCATTTCTGGCTTGGTAGGCAACAATAGAGGAGCGAACAAGTCTGATGTCAATCCGCATTTATAGTCCTTTACAAGTGGCTCTTGTGAAGTTGTAAATTTGTCTAATGCGACCCATAAATCGAGTAAAGTCAAGATTCTCACGGACTGATCTTCGGCAACCCCTTGATATGCTTCATCAGAGACTTTCTGGTAGGTAGACAAGAGATCTGCCAGAGCGATACAACATGTCTGAGATGTTTGATTTTCACTCAGCCAACTGGCTAGATGATCTCGAACCCACAGTTCAATGTCTGCCAACTCCAAGTGAATTAGATCTCTATTTTGGGAACCTAAAGACTGAGTACTCATATACGGGAATTGTGTACTCAACTGAAAGTTTCGGAAGTGACAGTAAGGTTCAGTAAGTGCGTGTTTGAGTTTCGATTGATTTCGTGTCGATAAACCGTCAAGGTAAGGTCGGAGAAAATTCATGCTAAGCACTGTATCTTCTATCAGGTTTAGTGCAGCGATATCAGGGTATATCGGGGGCGACAGCATTGGCACATTGTTCTTCAAGTAGGATGAGACTTTGGACAATACCTCCTGTATCTGCCGCTGTAGCTCACGGTCAATAAACTTTTCGAGTTTGACTAAGCGCCGTTGTACCTTCATCGACATTATGAACAGTATCTCTCTGGACATGGGAGACTCTAGTGCGCGTTTGAGAATCTGGCACATGAAGAAAATCATAAACGATTTGTATTGGTAGTGTGATGGATCAGTGCAATCTCTTTTCATAAGTCCAGTCTGAAGGCAGACTCGGAGAAGGAGCCAAAGAGGTGAACGGCGCCAGGGATAAAGACAGTCTTTCCACTGGACGATATCGCGCGTTCTCTTTTGAATGCGATGGATATCAATACGACGACCAACGGCATGCAGAGACTCCGCAAGCATGCTGGTTATGAGGGATGGGTCGACGGTGTCTCGAGTCTCAATGTCAGATACGTTTGCTTTGCGAGTTTTCGCTCGAACAATATTTGGCGTCTCTCGCGAGAGCTCTTCAATGCACTGGGATAGAGCTTCCTGGAATGATTTTTCGTGGATGCGGTCCTGATGAATGGCTACTGCGGGACCTGGGAAATATCTCCGTAATCGTCCGGCAGTCGCCATGACATCTCTGTTCCTTGGTGATAGCTCAAACATCTCGAACGAATACTCTGATGAGAGACGTCGAATTATTATTCCCGCATTTTGTGTCTCAACGTGAAAAGCGTAAACATCTGTACGTTTTGCATGGTCAGTAAGAATATTTGAGGGGGAAGTAAAATTCTGTACCTTCAATTTCCATTGTTTTTAAACCTTTGATAATGTTTGAAAATAGTGTGGCAGTAGCAGATGAATCAAGAACCATGCCCTCTATCATCCTGAGCATTCTTTTGACTGGTTGTCTTTGATCACTTGGCAGGAAATCATGAAAGTTTCGAAGTTCCTCTTGACAAAATTGCGTAAGTACAACATCATATCTCTCTCGCTCATCCTCCATGTCCGGTAATTTTGGGGGAAGAAAAACATGATGAAAGATGTATTCCAGAGGTAAGTCAGAGATCATTGTGAGATCGCGTCCTTTCGGGATGACAGGTTGCGAAGCTAGCTTTGAAACAAAGGCCTGGAGAATGCACTGCCGTATTGCGTATTGCTTTGATCGCAGACGAGACAAGCCTGCTGTCAAGTTCCCAGAAGCAATGAGATTCTAGCTTCAATCCTTCAAAGAGCAGTTGCAAAGAGATAATATCCCGTCTTCATGAATTCAAAGATTCCCTCAAAGGTCTCTGTCGACGTTCGCAGGTTGCGGTGCGTTTCTGATGTTGTCTTGCTGCGATCGAGAACTGTCTGATGGTGAAATACAGACGTGAGGATTATGAGCTTGATATTGAAAGATAATAAAGTAGCTTTCATGCAATCGCAATCATACTATAAGTAGATAATGGAAGAGGAAGGTGAAAAGCTTCTGGTAGCTAACGGGGCGTTTGTTGGATATGCAAATACACAAGAATAAGTAATTCACAAGAATGAAACCAAAGGAAAACCTCCTCAAATCACCTTTATTTTTTTCCCGCTGGGAAAGCAAATAGGCGAGTTATCTTCTCACTTCTATTTCCTCATCCCCGTCTATTCATATCCCACGGGCACGCATCTCCCCCATAATGGTCAATATCCATTGGACTTGGACGGCCGTGAAAAGTGATTTTTCAATGTAGGCACCCATTTCAAACGTCTTGTTCCGATTACTTGTCGAATCAAGTATCAAATCTTACCTCTCGATAAGAAAGTAAAAGGAAAATGATGGACGGAAAACATTCTGATTTGTCCCAGTGCTGAGGTTGAGGTTACATTTGTTGTTACAAAAGTGAGGCTTCACTTGGGGTAAGCATCAATGAAGTTACATTAGTGTGGGTTGTGCGCTAATCCCACCAATCAAGCACGGCAAGCACGGCCAAGTTCAAAATAATCTGCACGGACCAGAATCTTCTTCCCTATCAAGAAAGCTAAATTTATCTTGATACCCAACCTGGAAATCTGACAAACAAAATCTCTTGAGCTTGGAAATCTTGTAATTCTTTTGAATACCGTATCCGAATCCAATGTTGGAACGAAACGGCCTTTCAATGCTACATCGAGATCGGTCCAATCAATTCGATATGCATCCCGAAAAACGTGCAAGCAACATGGGTTTAAGAAAGAAACACAAACGATCATGTCAACCTGTCAGCTCTAACTCGGCCAGATGTATCTTGAGAATCGTATCGATACATTTCTGCAAGCAGGATTCTACCGAATTTTACACTGGGTCGTTGAATGAAGAGTGGCTCCTACAGCAGAGGAGGCCGAATGAAATATCAAATCCTGGTCAATACTAGTTGGAAGAAGCTGCAGCAAATCATCCCTTTTGACTTCCAGCCTCGAAGGGATGTCCAAAGCCAACCTTTACTTAAAGGCTGAAACGTCATATTTGGTTGTAAGTGTTACATCGAAGGCACGGGAAGTGCACGCGAGAATGGCTCGGCAGGAATGTACTTTCTGGAGGTAGCATTCCGTTAGCTTTGCGCGTAGCGGCAGAAAGATTCATATCTCTGGTCGTATTAAGATACCATACAAGAGAATACCACTCGATGAGAAGTCAAAGGCAAATCAATGTAGGTACAGAAATACACGATAGCTCTTTGGAACTCAATGCGTTTTCCCATCATAGTTGAGAGAAAATTGCATCTGCTCAAGGATAAATGCATTTGTGGACGCGGTAGACGTTAAGGAACTTGGCAACGAGGTCTCATATTCCAAGCCGCTACATTCTTCATATTCGTTGATATGTACAACAAAATTTACAAGTATAAGTCATTCTCATACTCTCATTCCTTTCTTTTGTCCACGCGTTATTCCTCTCTCTTTCCCCAACGAACGGCATTATATTCAATATGAGGACTGCAAGCTTGTTGGTGTCTCTGGCCTTTACCAGAGGTATTTTGGGTGCTATCTGCACCCAAAATCAATGTGCAAATGCCATTACATCCATTGGTGAGATCAACGTCGGTCTTCAAAGTCGTTCGTTAGATTGCGCCAAGTTCATAGCGACTACTGTCACTCCCAATGCTTCGTTCGTCAGCTCTACTTCCATTCATATTCTTTGCTAATTGACATAGAATTGCTTTGATAACTACGAGTGCAAATATGGAAGATTATCCCTATGTTCCTTCTCAAACAACAGCTGATCATGGTACAATTCCTACTTACGCATCATATTGTACCGACGCAGCTGCATATTCCTCCGCCTGTGATTGTGCGGGTGTTACACCTTCAGTAGTTGTCGCTCCAACTCCAACTACCTATCTCTACGATAAATTACCACTTTGCGCCAATCCAGCTACATGTGCACAAGGATACAGTAACGCTGCTTGTGGAGGTGGTGCTGGTATTTGTATTCCTGGGGGAGGAAATGATGGTTCTGGTTTCTGTGTCGCTGCAGGAGTGAGTCTAAGCTGTTCAATACTTCTTCTGTTTTTGATACCTCCTTTTCTTTCCTGATCTCAATCTTGACCTTTCTTTTCCGTCTATGTATTCTTCTTGCTTCCCGATACCTCATTTATACCTTATTCGAATCACTTTTCTTCGGACTCTGTTTCAGATAAGCAATACTGATTCCCCAATGTTGCAGACTTGCGGAATCACCTGTGAAAATAATTCGGATTGTACCACTGGTATCTGTCTTAGGGATGTTTGTTGTGGTTCTACTTGTTATAATCCTTCAGTTCAACTCGTTTCGACATGGCCTCCTACTCCCAATAAACTTGCCAAGAAAGACTTTAGAAATTTTAAAGATCTTTTCAACAAGTTCAATGGTGCAAAATCGAAATTGTTGGGCTCTTCGAAGAACAAAATCTTGGGTACTCACTTACCTGAAAATCCTCAGCCTACAAATTTCTTCAAAGGTGGATTTTGAGGTAGCATTATTTAGATTGCTGTGATGTCGAGGCTAGTCAGATTGAAGGAGATGAAATTTAGGGTTTTATGGGATATGCATCTCTTTCTGTTGAAGTTACAGGGAGGAATTGAAAGTGTTTGGTCTTTCTCTTTGCGTTCAGATACATGACATATATGAATGCGTCGTCGTTCTCTTCTTTCACCAGATCTTTTCTATCTAGATTATCAGAAAATACAAAATTGATATTTTTTCAAGGGAAACCAAAACTTGCTAGCAGTCCAGGCTTTATGTTGTGTCGAAATCAATTGAGATCGATACCGAAATAATATTAGATGACTCATCTCAGTCTTGGAATCTTACATTTTACGTAGTTAGTTATTGAGTACAGCTCGTGTTGGCGACGTATCACCATAATGACGGTTGCTGACAGGATTTATTACCCGAGAAGTTTCCGAGTTGGGGGCGGCAATGCAGATATAAATGTCATGCCACCACGCGTGTCAGAATCTGGCATCCTATCCAACCTCTCCGTCTAAATCATACCTCACATTCCTCATTACCATCCAACTCCAGAACACCTCATCATTCCCATTCCCATTCCACAAACTCCAATTTCCTCTTTCCCCTCTCCAAAAATAAGTAATAAAAAATGACAACCTTCATCGGATTCCTCTCCTCCCCCCTCTCCCCAACCATAGACCACACCGTCCCCTACATCCTCACAAACTGGACTCTCTCCTACCTCGTTCTCGCTTCTCGCCATTGGAAACAATACTACGGATTCGATCATAATGAATCACCCCGTTACGATATCCAGGAATATGGTGAACGGATGGTGAAAGAGGGGAAATTGACTAAGAGACAGTTGGATAGGATTAAGAGGGTGCAGAGCGCGTCGAGTAATAGTATTGAACATTTTGCGTTCTTTTTGGGGTGTATTGTGAGCCTTTTCTTTTTTTTTTTTTTTTTTTCTTTGGATGGGAGGGAGGAAGACTTTTTGGGGGGAGGAGGGGTGATAGATTATAGATAGGATGGTGGATGTAAGAAAACTAACTAAGAACCCCAGATCCTAGCACAACAAGCAGGACTCCCCGTCCAGACTATCAATAAATTTGGATTATCGTATAATCTAGCGAGAATCGGATATGGATTCGCATATACGTTTATGGAGACGAGGAATACGAGTGTTCTGAGAACGGCGTTTTGGTGGTGGGGTAATGTTAGTTGTATTGGTATTTTGTTGAAGGCCGGGAGGGCGCTTAATGAGGGGGTTTGAGGGGTGGTGAGGGGAGAGAGGGGGGGATGAGGGGGAGCGGCAATTGGGAAGGGAGATAGTATCGTGGGTGGGAGAGATGGATTTAAAATGCAGTAAAATGGTGAATGTAAGATGGTGAACACTTGAGATACACCAGAGTCCTGTTTTGTTGAAGTAGAATTGTCTCCTTTCTATGTTCAAAGAATAATATTGATGCAGACACGTTGCTTATTCAGTCAATGAGACTCATTGATCATGATCTGTCTCATATGCAACTGTCTAGTACAGGTGATATCAGATACTGCGTATTCCAAGTGAGACGGTGTAATATTCTGGGAGGCTGCAAATCGGGCTGTCTAGGTAGTGAAAATCAGGTTAGGCGAGCTGCTTGCAACCGGCACTGCTGCATAACAAAAAAAAGCCGATAGGATTGCTGGAGTATGACTCTGGAATGTGAGAATAAGATTGATGACGGCGCAATGGGCTTTCGTACCATCTTTCCCCTCTCTCATTTGACTGCAGTCATTTATGGAGGTCGGCAACTGCAATGCTTTCTGACCCATCACTGTCTTGGCCAGTAGATACAGGTACAGTGTGAATGAGAGGCTCCGTGGACAAGAACATTGGGCAACTTCGCTGTTTTGGAGTCGGGATCAATCGGTATGGTCTGCTGATATGATATCTTCAGTTATGTCTTGACTTTGGAATAGCTTGATCAAATCTAATGATGTCAATCAAAGAAGATCATCTTGACTTGGAATTCAATGTATTCTGAAACAGACCATTGTATCCAATTGATGAGGGCAAAAACAGGAGCTTTTGGAAGCTCGAATTCAGAGGAAAATTGAGAAACAACACTGTATCTTGAGTAAAATTCTCTCCCTGAGGTGCAGCTATTGATTGGTAGGAGGAATGGATTGTTTTTAACTGACAGAAAGCTTGTCAAAATACGGAAGAACTCGTTGCTGCCAGTGCAGTGAATAATGTTCAAAAATAGTTCCAAAGATTTGCGCGCTACAGATTTAGAGAGAATTAACACATCTTGCTGGTACGGGGTATGCTAAAGTAAAGTACCTGTATTTCAATAGGTTTCTCAATGACCTTCGGCAGATGGTCAATCGCCCCAAGTTCAGATGCCTTTATCAAATATACTCTGCTACTTCTCCGCCGGAACCGAAGTGTGAGAGATGGTTTGATCATTGAATATTCCAGTCTATATACCAACTCTAAAATATCAGTAATAAAGCCCGACGTAGTGAAGTGGCAGAGAGCTTTTGGTAAATAGAGAGTTGATTGAATGAAAATAATGAATAACGCTTCATATCCATAACTCATCTTATATACAAACAGCAATCTAGCAGTGAAAAAATACCACACACCAAGATTGACAAGAGGTGAAATACCGGTACTTTCTTACAGCGCATGATGTTCAAGGTAACCTCCTAGCTAGGAAGATATAGCGCAAATGGAAGTCCCTGCATATTCAGATCTGCGACAACTGGGCTGTATCCACATTACTTATTGTCATGGTCTTCAGCAGAGTCTTCAACGCTCAATCCACTTCGACTTTGCTCATGAGATGAAGACTTCAAAATTCCAGTACTTCAACAAAATCTTGTGTTGGTGATGGTGGCTTACAGTTTTCGTCTAACTTTAAGAGGCTAGCGTCCTTATTGAGCCACTGAGGTTGAGAACCTCATCGTCACACTACGATGTAAACCTTAATGCCTAGGTAGTAATAAAAATGTGAAGTTATTTGTATAGATTAAAATGTCGCTGATAATTATTTACAGGTAAAATTTGAATTATATTAATTGTCTTGCCTCGACATCTGATAAAGGAGACATTAGAATATTATGGTAATTATGTACAAACCACACGGGGGGGCTAATTATAATTCTACAGTGCTTTTCCAAACATGCGTTTCTCGAACTATGCTCTCCAATGCGAATATCTTCCGCCGGAATCAGATGAACCAATTCCATTGGCAGCCTTTTTGATCCAAGCTTCAACAACCTTGAAATATTCGTCATTGTTCTTCTCCAAGAATCCGAAATGAGCATTGCCGTGAACACCAACATCAGCCATCTTGATCCAATCAGTCTTTACACCAACTTGGTTGAGGTATTGAATAACACAGTGTTCGTAAGTAATGTGAGGAGATGCTTCGCCGGTGAATGCGACGTATGGTACCTTGGCTACATTAGGGAGAGTATGGATGGTGTAGTTTGCGGCACTGCTTTGTTGAATGCAAGATCTGCTCTCTGGGGTATCCTCGCCAACCGTCTCGGTGACGAGTTCGGTATAGTTGGAAATAGGAGGATCATAATTAAGATTGGAGACAGTCAAGCCAAATGGACGAGCAGCTGATCTTCCAACAGAAGATGTTGCGTTTCCGGTATAGGACTCGAATGGAATGTTTCCAGGTTCGAGATTGACATTTCCGAGCACGAGATCTGGACATTCGTCTGAAATTACAATTGGGTGGATTGCGCCAATGGAGTGAGAAATCAAGAATGATGGGCCAATCAATTGAAGAAGTTCGCAACCAGCAGCGCGCATCGATATTTCTTGTCGAGTATTGTTGGTAGTCAATGGCATGAAAGAACTCTCAAACGCATCAAAGATTGGATCTCCTCTGACTCCAGTACCGGGCCATTGAGTGTGTTGTTGGCTTTGGGGATAAGCGTTGGCGATTTCTGGAGCTGTGAAACCAACCTAAGGAAAAATGATAAGTCTCTCAAATGATAGCGTATGTGGAAGATACAACCTACCTCACTGATGTTTGCAGTTGATCCAATTCTCAAAGGATATCCTACGAGATCCTCTTGGGTTCCGCGACCTACACTAGTTTGATCGACAACGTAAACTTGGTAACCTAAGTCCAAGAACATCGATGCAAAGCCTTTGCGATTATCAGGTGTATTGAGCCATGTCTATTTTGATCAGTCGATGATGGCTTTCAGAGGGATTGAACGCGACATACTGCACCGGAAACTCCTCCACCGTGGAATAAGACCACAGGATATGGTTTCTTGATACCCTTATGTGGAGTCAACTTTTCAACATACGCCTGATCGTAGGTCAACAGACCAATGGCTGCGTTCACGTAATGCCCTCCTACCCAGAAAACATCGCGTTTGTAAGATGTCTCCTGAGATTCACATTGTGGTCTGATGCCATTGATTCCAGTACAATCCAGATCATCTGAAGATTTAGCTGAAGAGACCGTTGCAAGGCCGATAACGAGGGACCAGAAGAAAAACATCTCGTGAAAGGAACGAAAGTGGTAGGTGAGATGAAGATCGAGTTTGAAGTCGAAAGAAAAACAAACTTTCAGAAAGGGTTCATGCCACTACATGGTAAATTAAATGACAGCGGATTAGAAGTCTAAACCCGCCTTGCCTTTGCTTGTACGCAATTTTATGAACTCCGCAGCATTATTATCGGATATTGTAGATCATATCCCACTTTGAATTACCCACGGATTACCCACAAATGAGATTTATGAGAGGCGGAGAAATTGTCCCATCACAAAGTGCGATTGAAGGAAATTATGATATTGGATCCGATATCGTATGTACAATAGTCATCCAAGCTAAGTGCTAGAAGCATGTGCTAAAAGCATGTGCGTAAGGATTAGTCTCTGGGCATCTGTCACTTTGACCGCTGTATGCTCAAGCTCATCTCTTATTGACATGGAAGAATTCTGGAATCTCAATCAAGACCGTTGAAATGTCAGAACCGAATGAGTCTCAAGGAGCTCTTATATCAAGAGCAAGGTCTCGTTATATATATGTGATGTTTGTAGTTGAGACGAAACACCTCGCATATATAAATAAAGGCAAAACCCGCAAGTTTTGATATTTGAGCAGACGAAACGAAATTTGTATGAAGAAAATTTACTGTAGTACTAAAATTGCATTAAACTGAATGAAACCAGAAGAGAATTTTTAGCAATGGTTTAGTAGGGATTTTCCCGTGTCTTTGAACCGACTTTTTGTATCGTGCGTAAAAACTTGCGAGTCATGATCACGAGATAGGCCACCTCGGTCACTTGTAGTCTTACCATTTTCTTGTTTTGGGAGCACAACACTGGCTCGAGACTGGTAACCATGATCAAGTGGATTTGTTCAAGTCGGAGAATAAATTGTTCCGGTTTTCTTGAATAATTCTCGTAATGAATACGTGTGTCAAATTTCATTTTATGAAAGTTCAGATAAGAGCATTCTTCAGCACGTCGGTGCATTCATTGTTACATCGTTCCGGCACTTTCCAGCGGATCTATTATCTATGAATACCTATTGAGCTATTCAATAGTCGCATGTAGTATGTACTCCGCCGTATGTGTGCTTCGTACAAGGTTATGGAGGTTATATGTTAGCGTGGATCATGGATCCTCTTTATCCATTTTCAAGGAGATCTGTATGAATTCTTGCCTCGCTTCCCCATCAAAAGTTTGTTATATCACATCATCTTAATCAACCAATTTTTGCCTTTAATTTGTGGAAAGCCCGAAATTTCGCCTCGCGAGGATTTCTCAAAACCTTCCACTTATCACAACCATTAACAAATCGCCATTCAGCGTTTGAATGATCTACATATATGAATGAAGATTAGGAAATTCATCCGACAGTGAGCCCGGGGGCGAAGGTGGAAACCCACTGTTACACAGGAATTACCCAGATTCTGGTAGACCGGTGTTCAAGGTAGTTTTAGGCTTTTCCAGAAAACCCGTGGTGGTATTGTGAGGGGTCGCTACCAAGTCCAGGCACCGTTTGAAAAAGCAAGATGAAGCTCATTCGATACAACATTGGATACCGATAATTCAGACCAGATAAAAACGTTCCTCAGGTACCGAACGGCAACACCGTTTGCAGAGGTTGCACAGTCGAGACGGTCTGTGTTTCTTTCCATATCGGCATGAAAACCTTAATCGTACGATAATACCACTAACACGTGCGCAAGGAGCGGCTTGCGTTCATAGGGAAATCGAATGTGGAAAGCCACCGGCAAAATGACTTGATAAGTAATGATGCGACCTGGGTGGATATAATTTACACAGGGCACAAGGAACATGTTACTGCGATTTCCTTGTGATCGGAGTGAAGTTCAAAATCTTCACCCTATTTTCTTCTAACAATCAAGAGAAAGGTGGGCAACTTTGTACTCCTGAAAGCTTGATGGTAGAGAAATGCAACAACGGGATAGTGGTAGGGATCGAGTGATTCGGCATTCGACATATAGACTGATCTAAAACCCAACCGGCCTTGGAAAATTATCGTTACTAAAGGATATGTGCCTAAAGTCCCCTCAATTTCATGGATGGACCTTCCAAGACTTCTAAGGGAGTCACGTACATTCAACGATATCCTTTCCTTGCTACCTATATTTCTACCGTGTGTTCGTGTTCATATGGGAATTTACTGCGATGTTTCCGACGGGATATTCTCAAGGGGTTTCAACACCATGCTCGTATCATATATTATACTTTTTTGATCTGAACTAGATCAAAGAGTCTAAGTAAAGATTTCCGTTGTATTTCTATCTTCCCCAGGTCTTTTCCACTTTTCAGCAGTTCGTGATTGTTTCTTCGCCATTAAGTTTTGCATGTAAGAATTGGTGAATCATTCAATGCGATCCTCAGCGCCAGGCTTCCCCGCGAAATTCCCCTCTTCTTTTCCAAGAGTCTCGAATTGAGGATCATTTACGTTGTCCTTGGTGTTGGATTGTGCTGCGATCGACCGGTGAAAGTGAAGACGTCGATTTAAAGCTTCACTCTTCCACATTATGTCCTCCTCGATACTTTCGTCTTCGTCATCGATTATCTCCTCCGCGACCAAAACCTACTCAACCACCATCCCCACAGGTACTATATCAGCTCTCATCGGTCAGCCACCAAATACTACCAATGACTATTACATCGTCGCCTACCTCAATGGCGCTTTTGGAATACACGGCAATCCTAATAAGGGAATTACTATCCCTCCTTTAGCACCACCAGGATACGTCTACGAATCCCGCGCTACGTCAATTTTAATCGGAATGTCCGTATCCATCTTCTTCATGTTCACATTTACGCTTGTTCGTCTTCTTATTCGTCTCCTAAATCGCGGTTTGAGACTCGGTCTGGACGACCTCTTCATTGTTCCCGGTGTCATCCTCGCAATTACGTGGCCAGTACTACAGATTTTAGCCGTCGTATACGGAGGAGCAGGAAAACACATCTGGGATGTAACGTATGAGGAATATGGATACTTTAAACGCTACACCAATTGGTCCAAGATATTTTTCTTCGTAGCAGTAGGAGTGGTGAAGGTTTCCATATGTCTTTTCAATCGCAGACTTACATCCATGACATCGAATAAGTGGCTCTTGTTCAACAACGTCTTTCTAGTCCTCCTGGTCATCTATATCTTCGTATCACTCTTCTGGAACATCTTTCTGTGTAACCCCGTCTGGGGAGGTTGGGACGCAATTAGATTGGGGAGAGAAGGAGTTGTTGCAAAATGCTTCCCGGTGGGAACTATGGGAACCATTCTGAGTACGATTCATGTCATTATGGATTTTGGTCTCTTGGCTGTACCACTTATTGTACTGTGGAAAGTCAAGATGGGATGGAGGACTAGAGGAAGATTGTACATTGTTTTTGCGGTGGGAGGTGTGAGTATGATTGGAAGTATTCTCAGACAAATCCAGCAGACAAAGTTGAGCTCGGATGTTTTATGTAAGTTCATTTTCTCGATTTTGAAATCTGGCCTTTCATTTTCTTGGCCAGATCTTCAGAATACAAACAATAGAAAACTAACAAATACCAGGGTCTTTCAAGTCTCTCGAAGATTGGACACTAGTCGATTTGACACTCGGTGTCATTGCCGCTTCTCTGCCCGTCCTCTCAGCTATCATCCCAGCCAAATGGAAAACAATTCACACCTCTTCGTCCTATAAAAATCCATCACATCTCGGTTCTCATCCTCTCTCCAACCCCGGAAACTACATGCGCTCGAAATACTCTGGAAAAAATGGAAAAGACATGAAGAGTGGACGAAATAGAGGAACAAACGGCGGTACATTTGGAGAAAGCGAGGAGAACATTGTGAGAACGGATGTTATCGAGTTGAGTTTCCAAAGCAAAGGAGATGTGGAAAGTAGAGAGGAAGCAAAGGAGGAAGGAAATGGAGAAGGAGGAAGTGGAAGAGTCAAGAGGAGTTTCTCGAGGAATAGAAATCGCGGCGATTCGAATGAGAGAGCTGCTACGAATAAGTTGGATAAGGAGACGAGTGAATGGCACGGGGCCAAAGGCCAATATGGCCATAGAGTGGAAATAAGTAGGGACGAGTGACGATTAAAAGATTATGGGGGGTGGATGGGCTAGGACGATTTCACGTATTTTTACTCCCCGTAATCCGGGGATAGTTAATGAGAAGCTTCAAAGACGGTTTTTATAGGGATTGGTGGCTTGTGGTTTTGAAATGGGATCATTTCATTGATTTCGGCGTTTCACAGATGGGCGAGTCACACTAGATTGTGGACTCGTGGATATACCAAACTTTCTTGTACTATGAGACTTGTACAGTGGGCCGGATGGGTGTTTTTGTAAATGGGGTGGAAAATATTTATGTTATGATGTCAATGAATTGTAAATAGAAGTAGGGATATATTTTTGAGTAGGAAAATGCTGGAGTACAATCTCTGCAATGATATTTTGCTACTTTGCTTCTATCAATCACGAGACTATCCGCATCTGGTTAACGGGAGTATAAAGATGCAGTGGGAATCCGTAATGATCATCTCTCAAGTCAGTTTCCAACAACTTTAAGGCTCTTTACTGGTAACATTGGCAATAACTCCATCATCTATCTGCTACTTCATTCCGTTTCGGACCTGACATTAGACGTGGATATGCCCCCTTTGAAGCGAAACCAACGTCAGGAACCATAGGCTCTGCATAACCGAACAAATCGATTTGATTTACTACAATAGCCGTGGAAGTTCACTGTCTTTTATGTCAAACATTACCAAATAACTTCCTCTTGGCCACAGTTCACATACACAAAGTGAAAGGCGTGTGATCAAATGGGTATAGTTAAGAGAAGCTCCCTGATTTATGGACTTGTCTACATTAACCAAGGTGGTCAATCACATAGCTGCACAGTAAAATAGTGAGTTACAAGAATTGAATTGTTCCTACAATCAGAGGTAGGAATTATTAAAATATGTATATCGTTTCCAAAATCATCAATATACTATCTTATCGCGTTCCTTTCTTTCACTGCTTTCAGAAAGCATTCATCATTCCCCATACGCCCAGTAATCCCACAAGACTCAAACCATTAATCAACCCTCCCTTCGAACTATCAACACCGCCATTAAACACAATATTAGTAATAGCAAATGTATCCGAACTTTTAGTAGAAGTTGAGCTAGCGCCTCCATTCCCAGTTTCAATAACCAGAATATCGGGCTTACTTGCAGGGCTCGTAGTGGTACTGCCACTGGTAGCTAATTTTTTTGAACTTGTGTAGGTGCTATAGAATGTCGACACCGGCTCGCCGGAACTATGTACTATGATTTCACTAGTTCTAATTTCGGTGACGGAAGTAGTGTCAGTCAAAGTACTGTAATATGTTGATACAGGCTTTCCGGAACTATAAATGACTATTTCGCTGGTTCGAATTTCTGTAATCGATGTTTCTGGGGTTGCTAGATGAATTGGTAGAGACGTTGCGGCAGAGAGAGGAATGGTAGATACAATGCCTCCAGCATATTGCACGATTAAACCAGCAGCACCGAGGGTTGCAACAGCTGAATTGGAAAGTGTGATCGCTGGGCCATCGAGAACGAGGGATTGGGAACCCAGAACCACGTTTGATGCATCAGCCCCTGCAGAAACAATCTCTCCTCCTGCAAGAGTAGCAATCGCGCTCGATACAACTGCAGGTATGGGCGCAGCAGTTGGGATACTATATGTTGATACTACTCCATTCGATTCTTGGACTACGAGACCTTGAGACCCTAGACTAACAACTGAATTGGAACCCGAGAGTGTTATTGCTGGAGCACCGGAAGTAATGGTTTGGCCGGCCACGATCAAAGTCGATGCACCTGGAATTGCCGAGATAATTTCTCCGCCGGCGAGAGTGGCGATCTTACTTGGCGATGCCGCTGTTGCGACGGCCCTAGTGGTTGGAATTGTGTAAACGCTTGATTGGGATGATTCTCCATTTTCATTTGCAATGACCAAGCCAGATGGTGTGAGTTGAACAATGGAAGAAGAGATTGTTATAGGAGCTCCATCCAAAGAGGCAGTCTGGCCTCCCACAACTATTATTGAGTCACTAGGAATCACGGAGATGACTGAAGAAGCAATTGTTGCGATTGGAATTGGTGTGTTGGCTGGGATAACAGGTACTGACGATACAGGCTGTGGTGAATCATCGGTGGTAGTTGGGTCTTGTACAGCTAAAACAGTGGTTGAGAGTGCATTAGATGATGATGCCTCTAAGGCTGGAATACTAGTATCTGAAGGTACCGGACTAGATTTTGGGACTTGAACATCAGAAGTAGAAGTACTAGAAGGAGAGTTGACAATGGATGTTTTTGATGGCTGACTTGATGATGGTGATTGAGCGGTACTTGCTGGAATTGAAGTTGAAGTTGCTGGAGTTGCTGATGTAACAGGAAGAAGTGCATTGACGGGGGGTACAGCTCCTGGTGGATCAAAAAGACCAAGTCGTGCATTATCTTGACCACAGTGTCTAAAGAAAGGTCTAATCATTCAGCTCCTGTTTAGGTACTTGGATATCTCAATGACTTACAGTCCACTTGATTCAATTTGGGGCGTAGGGATAGCCAGGGCAGGAAAACATCTATTATAGTCATTGTCCATAGCATGCATACTTTGGATAGCACCGTTAGTCGAAGCTTCAGTCAATGTAATTGTTGAACATCCTGAAATGATATCGCTCAAAGTAAGAAGCGCGGCTGGCGTTGTATTGACTTGCTGATCAGATGCCGTGTAGCGGGCAATTGTAGAGACGTTACTAGGATGCAACGAAATGATTACATTGCTCATTGTTGGACCAACTTGACCACAACTATTATATCCACTAATGGTATTTATGACCATGTACATTGATGGGGAAGTCCTAAACTCATTAGCATGAAACAATATCTCTTGAAGAACGTAAATACGCACATTGTAATCCCTATAGCTTCATTGTAGTAAGTGGAGGGGTAGCTGATGTTTCCACTTGCTTGAGGGAAGTATGACAATTGAACTGTTCCGGCGAATCTATTCATCAATATTAGCTTAGACAATGGGTCGTGGGAGCTACTCATACATATGACATGGCGTCCATATCAATTGCGGAGTGATTCCATTCAGATTCCATTCAGTGCAGGTGTTGATTGGAATGGATTGGTTTCCCCAATATGGCCCAGGAGTAATTGGAAAAAATTGTGTCGTTGATTGAACATCTGCATATGAAAGAGTAGCGGAAGGTGTGATTGTAGAAGGGATAGATCCCGATACCGTTGATGCTGGGGTTGCGGAAGTGGTTGAATTTGAATAAAGAACTATATTTCAGGCACGCGTCAGTTTAATTCTTTCTTGATATTAGAGTACTAAATGATAGGGACATACCAGCAGCCTGACCAAATTTAAGAAACGATATAACCACCCATAGTGATGATACAAGTCGCAGAGACATCATGAAAAAGCTTCAGATGATGATTAAAGGAATGTGGGTTGGAAAAAGAACGACGCAACAAGATTCAAAATAAACATCACCACGTCTGTCAAAGATAAAAAATGCGCCCTCTCAACTTGATACTCGAAGGTTCGGCGCCACAATATCTCACATAAACCTTAAATCTAATCTTGAAGCCAAAAATAATCACCAAGATTCATCCGGGTCATATGTGACGGAGAGCTGACTTCAACGAATAATCAATTCACTAGCTCGCAATAAACGATTTGACCAATTGTTGAAGGGGAATAGACGTATTTGTGGGTACGTTATCCTACTTTTGTGAACTTTACATGGACATATCGAATCCTCGTGGTTGTTAGGGACTATATCCTTGGCATAGTGATCCTTCCACGGTAACGGTAACATTTCCAGGGGAGATACAACAAGTGTGATAGTGAACCGATCGTCTAAGGATAAATTAGGTTCGATCAAGCTATCTTTTGGATGATTTGATATAATGCTCATCCACATAACCAAGCTCCTGTGTAAGTAGAGCATGCCAAGTCTTCGAGCTTGACAATTAATCGCTTGCATGATGATTTGCTATACTTACAACCGGAATCTTCAGATCATTTGGCGCTTATTGTAAGTGATAGAGTAAGGCACACGTGGGCCCTGATACCTGCAATGGTGATGATCGATATTGGTTCACCACTTATGAACGTATTGTACGTTCCTTCATCCGAGCTCTAACGAAAGGGTGTTGTTGTTCTATAAGTAGCCATCCGAGTAAGTAATCCGGATATCCACAATCTATACGTCCTTGGTATGAGGGATAAGCTCGTCAGGATAGAGTTCGAAATGGTCAAAAGTAGAAGGAATCACAGCCTTGCTTTTCTTTCCAAGATTCGTTCCGTATTACATGTATCCAGAATAGGTAACAAATTTCGGGGTAGTTAAGAAAGTAAATAGAGGTGGCAGTCAGCACATCTGATAAAGTGACAGAAGCGATACACGTGACGTTATGATAATTGGCTCGTTCTCTATCTAAGCTATATGCGGTTAGTGACATGTGACTTTCATTGCTCGGTGCAACGTGGGGTTGCATCCTTCCTTTGAGGGGGTGGAGGTGGTAAGATCTCAAACTCCTTTTTCGCCTCCGTACATCGTTTTTGTATCAAATTTATCTCCATAACTTGCTTGGTGCTCAGCTGCTTTCATGTATTACCAGATGTATACACCGCAGTCAATAATACTCTTAACGTTCGTATTGATTGACATTTCATCTCGTGATGCTCTATTTGCCCCCTCCCCACTCTCGATGTATTATGTTGGAAGATTATGGAGCTCGGCTCACGTACCCATTGGCTAATTAGGCGCTCAAAACTTTCATCACAATCATATTTGGATGACTACTCCAATCTATTTCAATCTAATCGCCGTATCTGTGATTCTTCATTCTTAAACATTCATAATGTCTCCGATTTATGAAGATTTGACTGAGCCAGTGCCTAGAAATGGACGTCTTTCGTAGGCAATTTGATCCAACATAAAAGTTTTAAGATCGAGACCCAGGAGCTACGCCTTAGCCTTGCAGATATCTCCAAGATTCTCATTTGCAATCCTAGTTATCCCCCCTGGATCTGGATAGCTTCTGCTTATCGATGCCAGGATAAGTTTCAACGCGAATAATCTACCACGTTTTTAACCGTGCCTTGTGAGAAGACGCTGGCTGTTGCATGCGGAATGGTAGTCGTGATGAAATAGAGTCTAGCTACCCCTGCTTGTCGCAGTAGGATTTTGATCTCCATTGACGAGCACCTCTGGAATATTCCTTTCTTTCTTTTTTACAAGCGTCCTCATTCTCGTCTTGTATTTTTCAACTCAGCCATTGTCGGCCCTCATGTTTGTTGAACAGCCGTCATGAAAATACGGTTCCATAATGGACTCCTGTTCGCTTTGATTGCTGTACTAAACGTCACAGCTAGTCCATTGAATGGTGTACCTGAAAATCAGTTGAAGTCAAATAGGGCTGTTCCCTCTCCGTTGGTCATACCGGCTAGTCAATACTTTGTGAGCTTTATATTTCTGTTCTCAGATTCTCAAATCCGAAAACAAATTCTTACATGTTTCTAGGATGGTGATGATGGTGAATGGTCTTCTTTGGCATTGAGAGTTGGGAGCCCTGCACAAGATGTTCGAGTATTGGTATCAACCAATTCACCGCAGACCTTAGTAGTTTTGCCACTTGGTTGCACTTCTGCAGCTATATCACCAGTACCAAGTGGTTGTGCGAATGCTCGAGGGGGCTTATTCAACAACAGCTTATCCAATACTTGGGAGGACATAGGATTATTTGGAATCAACGGAAACGGCGTAGGATTCCAGGCAGATTTGGGATATTCTCAATCTGCAGACTTTGGCTTAGATTCAATTGGATTAGGATATGTCTCAGGAACGAATGGTCCTACGCTCGATAATCAAACAATCGGTGCCATTGCCACGGCATCGCCATTTTATACGTATGTAGTCGTCTGAACACTCGGAATCATGGCTAACGATAGAAAGAGGAATATTCGGACTTGGTACTCAACCATTAAATTTTACGACTGTAGGAAACTATTCATCTGAGTCCTATTTCTCATCTTTATGGTCTCAGAAACTTATCCCAAGTTTGACGTGGAGCTATACAGCTGGAGCAAAATATCGTATGCAATCCCTTCCTTCACCATATGTGAAAAGATGTCTCATTGAAGATAATTCAGGACTCAAAGCCGGCCAGTACGCGCAATTAATTTTTGGAGGATATGATACATCTCGATTTACACCGAATTCTGCTTCATTTACTCTTTCGTCAGACATCAATCGAGACATCGTTGTGGCAATTCAAGCTATAACATATAGTGGAACAACACAAGCTAGCCTTCTGCAAAGTCCGACTTATGCTTTTATTGAATCAACCGATCCAAATTTATGGCTTCCTGAAGCAGTTTGTCAAGAATTTGAGAAGGCTTTTGGCCTTCAATTAGACAACAGTACTGGTCTCTACCTGATCAACTCTACACAATACTTTTTGTTGACCTCTATTAATCCTCAAGTTACATTCTCCCTAGCGAATTCATTGACAGGTGGTGATACCGCTTCCATTGTACTACCTTTCAATGCTTTTGCTCTATCAGCTTCATATCCTTTTGTTCCAAATGATACTTATTATTTTCCTCTCAGAAAATCTGCCAATGACAGTCAGAATACTTTAGGGCGAGCTTTTCTACAAGAAGCGTAAGTCGTTATTCTATAAATCTACACATATTTCTAACGAATTTTCAGTTACCTTACAGTTGATTATGAACGTGGAAATTTCACTGTCAGTCAGTGTTCTTTTGTTGATGGTTCCAGTTCTGAAATCAATACTATCGTATCTCCCCCTTTGACAAATAACTCCTCATCTATGTCAAAATCTTCATCCAGTGCTGATTCTACTGATCCCACTAAACATTTATCAATTGGAATTATATGTGGAATTGCTGTGGCATTAGTGGCTGTTCTGATAATTGGAGCTCTTGGTGGATTTTATCTTTTCCGCCGTCGCAACCGTCGCATATCTACAGCAGAGATTGCTCTACGTGGAATAAATGGATCATACTCTAAGGATAGTTCTCGCATGACGCCATCGCCCAATCCATCATCGATCCCTCCAATGAACCCTTCTCCAGATCTTTCGTCAAATCAAATTTATATGCAAGAAGTCAAACCGATAGCCGAAGCGCCAGGTCATGAGACTCGTGAGCTGGTGGAACTTCATTCTCCTAATCTGAACAATCAGTCAAACTTTATTCAATTTACAAGTAAACCAACAGAAATATATACAAAAACATCAGAAGATCCTTATGAGGATTATACAACCGCTGCACGCCGAATAGACTCCCTAAGAAAATTTGCAACTTCATCTGAAATGGATGCAAGTTCCGCGATGTATGAGCTTCCTGGAAGTAACCCTTTGGTCGAGATGGATGATGAGAGGAGTAGGCACAATTTGTCGCCACGATTAGATCCATCTCAGAAATCACCACAATTTTACCAGGAAGGACACAAATTATTATCACAACATTCCTCAAACCAAAATATATCTCCAGCCATATCAGAACTATCACCAAGTCCTAGAGTTTCATCAACACAAGGAAGGATATCCCCATTCGAAATTCTCTCAAATAAATCGTCTATTCCACAAAAATCAGAGCCTACCGACACAAAACTCTCCGCCTCAACAAATCTTGAACCACCCGCTTATCGCTATAACCCATTGAGAAGATCAGGCACAGGTTACTCGGGCAATTCAGGATTCTCCGGGATTTCAGAAGAAACAACAGGAACACCCATTTCTATGACAAGTCCTACTCTCGGAAGACCTCCTTCAATGTTTATGAGAGCTTTTTCAAGATCTGGCAGGCCGGCTTGGAATAGAGAATCAGCACCGAGTGTTCCGTCTAGGGGTTCTTCTAATGCTACGACACCGGGTGGGCGGACTGGTAAAAATCCTAACAACTCTTGGTTTTTTTAATGAGTTTTATTTTTAATAATGATGCCACGTTCTTTGTATATATCTATTTCTTCAATTCTGGGTATATAGGGGAGGGAATTTCAAGGGCATTCTAATTAATGGAGATGGAGCTCTATGGTCTACAAGCATAAGATCGGTTATTGAGTTCATTTGATATGATATGGACAATTCAACGTGGAGAAGATTAATCTTTCAAGATTCTACTGCATTCGTAGCATATCCCGCCCTCTAAAAGCGAACACAGAGTTCTGCAAAATAGTCCGAGAGTCAATCACAACAACTTCTTCCGTGCTGCATATTTGAATTATATTGCTAAATACTCTATTGATCTCATATCTTAATCATCATTTCTCCAGTTTTTAATGAGCTGTTTTCTATCAGCTGCTTAAATTCCCTACATATTAAAATATCTAATAGCCCTCTCGGCGGCGATGTCTGAAGGGAGGGGGTGGCTGAAATGGCACATTTTATAAGCCACACACGTGATAACTACAACGCATACCTGGGTTTATTTTGATCGATTAATCCATTGATTTGATGAAAGAAACATTCTTTCATATACCTTGATTCTATTTATACTTGACAGATATCGAAGACATCAATTGGCTTGTCTGCTCTCGGGATAGATCATACCATGGGCAAGAGCAAATCCACTACATCTACAAATAGGTCCAGTCAGATGTATTTATGATGTCCACCAATGAAGCATTGCTTTCATGAGGATTCCACAAACGCGCAAACGTGAATCTTGCTCGCAAACTGTACAAATAATGTATACGAACAGTACGAGTACGTTCGAGTTGCTCTAGCTCCTCTTTTTGGTCGAATATCAAGTTTGTCGCGAAGGAATCTTGAGGTTTGTTTGGTGTTGCACATGAATCTTTTGTTTGTAAGGTTACTTTGAGTTTGTTCTTGATAAATTTTTGTCATTTTTTTATGTTTGCTTTTCTTTCGATGGAGCAAACCTTTCGATGATACCATGGAAAGCAACGGCTACTTGCAGAGCCAGTATACTGAAAACAATGGAACTTGGTAGAATAAGATATTATACTTCATTTTGTTTCATACGATCCAGATTATGACGGACGTTTCCCCTGCATTTGGGTTTATTAAAGAGTCGGAAACGGGGAACTACTTCCACACGGGAAGTGTACGATCTATTCTTTTCCTCCAATCTTTTGGAAGTCTTAGACTGTGTTGTTGACTTTCATTGTGCTTCTTTCCCAAAGCCTATCATCTACAAGGCCATCTCCATGTCGCGCCTTTTGACATTCAGGAACATTCAGAGATCTTCTCATTCGATCTTTCGATTGAAACCTCATAAATACTTCTGGAAGCCCGAGAATAAGAGTTTTTCAATTCCCAATTTTACTTGGTTCAATCCACAAGAATATCTGGTCAAAATGGTCAGCAACCAGAAAAATATTGAAGAAGAAGAATATGCTGTTCATCTTAAACTACTCAAAGATGATCCAAATGGCCGTGATCGAGATAATCAACAGTATATCACACCAGTTTTCCCAGCTTCACTTCGAAATCAAATCGAGCAGTATGGATTGATAGCCGGACATTCCAGTATTCTGACCAACAGTGATAATCGGAAGGATCCCCGACTTTTCTACAATATAGCTGCGCCTTTCAGTACATTCATTTGTGGCTCACAAGGAAGTGGGAAATCTCATACTCTGTCATGCCTTCTGGAAAATTGTCTTGCGAAATCATCCGTTAGTAAGGTGAAGAAACCTCTATCGGCTTTATTGTTTCACTATGATGCATTTATTGGCGATGTGTAAGCTCAGTTGGTTCTTTCCTATGAAAACGACCATGGACTCTATGCTTCTTTACCTCCTGATATCCTCCAATTCTCTTTTGTTTGCTTGTTTGACGGCTAAAATCTAACTTCTTGATGCTGCAGGAAAGGAACCCCTTGCGAGGCTGCTTACCTTGCAAGCAATCGAGACATAAAAGTTCGAGTTCTATGTCCTCCGACCAATTTTAGAACCATACAAGTAAGTTTAGATCTGTTCTATTTCTCTGTGTCCTTCCTATTTAATCTTCATTCCATACTTTCTTGTCAATGCCACACACTTGATTGACTTGATTGTCGAGAAGCCGTTGCACATTTTAATTACTTCAATACTTCATTGGTATTTTCTTTTCAATAATCAATACTGACATACAAATTTTGTCCATAGCGCACATATAGTGGTATCAAGGGTGTTAAAATTCAGGAACTATGCATTGACGAAACTGATCTTACAACGCAAAGAATGTTGAGCTTGATGGCCGTCAAAACATCAGAAGAAATGCCACTCTATCTCCACACTATCACTAGAGTCTTGCGGGTTCTCAGGCTTGCTCACCAAATCAACGGAAAGCCTTTTCATTACGGAGAATTCAAGAAGCATCTTGAGGATCTTCGACTGACAACTGGTCAGGAAGGACCGCTCATACAACGATTAGACACACTAGAAAGCTTTATGCCAATTGAGCAGAGATCAGCTAAGTCTTCTGCCCCCTTAAAAAGAGGAAAAGGAACTGATTGGAGCATAAAGGTTACATCTTTCCTGGAAGTCTTGAGTGAGTTGATTTCATGGCTAACATACGGTAGGCGGGAGAACTTACAATCGTTGACCTTTCATGCCCGTGTGTGACTGTCGAAGCTGCATCATCTCTCTTTAACATGTGTCTCTCATTATTTCTAGAAGAGACATCTGACATAGGCAAAGTTGTTGCCCTTGATGAGGCCCATAAAGTATCATACCCCCTGAAAGAACTGCGCTTGGAAATTCTGCGGCTGACAAAATTTTGTATCTTTTAGTATATGTCGAATAGTACAGGAGATGCCTTGACCGGTAATTTATTATCCACAATCCGTCTCCAGCGCCATTTGGGTACACGTATTTTTATTTCCACACAAGAACCAACAATTTCTCCCGCCCTCATCGATTTATGCTCCATGACTATTGTTCATCGCTTTTCCAGTCCTGAATGGCTCAGATGTCTTCGTTCACATGTTGCCGCACTACATAATTCGGGATCCAATTCTCAGGATGATGAGTCAACGAGAAGGAATGTATTCAAGGAAATTGTAACATTGCGAGTGGGTGAAGCATTATTATTCGCACCCGAAGCAGTGATCTACAAGGATTGTGATAGGATCAACTTATCACCCGGTAATGAATCTTCGGCTACATTGATCAGCGGCAATAGTAACAATAATGTGTCAGAAAAGGGAAAGGAGAAGGCAATCGAAAGAGATGATGACGATGACGAACAAACATTGAGAAAGTTGGGAACAGATTATGTTAAGATAAAGGTCAGAGCTAGGCTCACTAATGATGGTGGAAGGAGTGTTTTGGCTGCTTGACCTTTCTGGGAGATCTGTAATCAATAGTTGAAGACCCAACGTTCTTTGACAAGAATTCAGAGATGCAACACTTTCAATTGTGTGAAGGCAATGATTTGATAATTTCATACCTAGGTATTAGTGGTGGGTTGATAGGATACTGCTGTTGGTATTTTTTTACTATTTTTACTATTTCATTTCTCAGAAAAGGCAAACAATCGGCGAAGGGAACCATGAATATCAATTATCAATTGAATATCAAGTCTCTGGCAGTTAGATGACCAATCTGCTTGAAAAACTTGGCTGGCAAACTGAAGTTTACACCTGTTAACAACTCAAACTTGGTAACGAATGCTTCATCCTATCATATCTCATTCTTTCCGCAATAGGATATCAAAGCCTCTCCACCTCTTCTGTCAAAACGCACCATGACGCACAGATGGAGATCTATGTATCCCATCTCTTCTAAGTGGGTAGCATCTATATCCAATACTTGTATAGGCAAGTAATTCGTGTATTCTAATAGGATGCATTTACATTTTAGTTAGAGCCAAGCGAAATAGCTTCAAAAAAATACTACTAACGACCGTCAAGTGCCGAATTAGCTCAAACAAGTGCCAGATTGATAGATCTTGGGAAATATGTACCGATACACCCCCACATTACCTATCATTTAATGAAAAAAATGTCTTCGACTTGTCATTCAACTGCCGATTGTACCTTCGTCATCCTTTTTCACACTAAGCATATCCCATTCCCATAAGTCTTCGACTCCCCCATGAGATGTGTCAAAAGGGTTCCTCGTTCTTTTCATATTTCTGAGGTCTTAGAACGGTTCTCTTTGGATACAATCTGAGGCTGGAAACTCATGATATACTTTATACTTAATTTTTAATATTCAATTGTAATCTATCATCAAATCATCTTTAAGCTTATCCAGACTCCCATCCAAAGCTATCAAAATATACATAAACACAATGGCTCAACCATCCGAATCTCCTCGTCTCTCAGTCCCTCACTTCGACCAGACAGATACATCTCAACAGACCTTTTTCACCACACCGGAGAGCTCAGACTCTATCCAAAATGTCTCCAACCCCCGAGACTCATCTCTCGATCCCAACTCTACTCCCCAAAATCCAACCACATCCACAGAAAACATCCCCCTCTATCTTGCCCCTCCCATTCGATTTTCCTTCCCCCGACAATCCTCTCGCTTCTCCGAAGATCTCTCCTCCTCCTCCACCACCCACCACACCTTAAACCAGCAATCCCGTACCACCTTCCAAACCCTCACTAACACACCCTCTCCCCCCACCAATCAAAACTACTCCTCATCCCCAGAACCCAAAAACGAAACCACCACCCGCACCACCAATTCCGCTCCCCAACCCATCCACTTCCGCTCCATGACCTGGCTCCACTGCGCCTTCATCATGATCGCCGAAACCATCTCCCTCGGCATCCTCGCGCTCCCCTCGGTCCTCGCAACCGTTGGGCTCATCCCCGGTCTCCTCCTCATCATCAGTATGGGCCTCCTAGCCTGGTATTCCGGCTTCCTCATCCATCGTTTCCGCACCGCCTATCCATCCATCATCTCCTGGGCCGATGCATGTTCGATTCTTCTCGCTCCGCTCGGAATGCCCAATGTCGGGAGAGAAATTGCGGGAGCGGCGCAAATCCTGTTTTTGCTGTTTCTCATGGCGAGTCATATCCTCACGTGGATTATTTGTTTGGATACGTTGACTGGGGGGAAGGTGTGTAATATTGTGTGGGGAGTGGTGGGGATGGGTGTTTTTTGGATACTGGATTTGCCGAGGACGTGTAGGGGGATGAGTTGGTCGAGCATTGTTTGTGAGTATTTGAGTTTCTTCTCGTGTTGTCTTGTTTAAAAGTGCCAATTGAGTAGCGAATGGGAAGTTGGAAGAAAAAGAAGGAAAAGGATGAGAAAGGAATTGGAAATGGATTTAGAAAGAAGAATGTGAAAGAAACTAATCAATATGAATAAATAGCATTCGCAAGTATCGGTACTGCTGTCACCATCACCATGATATCCGTCGGCGTGCAAGCACCGGCCGAGAAAACATACTCCCTATGGCCTAAAAAAGATCTTTCTGTTCGCGAAGCCTTTCTAAGTGTAACGAACATTGTATTCGCTTATGGTATGTATACCCATCCACTCCCCATCCACTCCCCGCTATCTCCCCGCTATCTCCCCCCCACACACACCCCAAACCCAACTAACCCCCTCCCAGCCGGCCACATCGCCTTCTTCACCTTCATCTCCGAACTACGCACTCCCTCTGACTTCCCCAAATCTCTCGCGACCCTGCAAATCATCGAAATCGCACTCTACCTCCTCTCCTCGATGCTCATCTACATCTACACCGGCTCCTCCATTTCCTCTCCCGCGCTCCTCTCGGCCGGCCCCCTGCTCTCCAAAATCGCTTTCGGGATCGCCATTCCCACGATTGTGATCGCGGGGGTCATTTTCGGTCACGTAGCATCGAAATACATCTTCCTACGTATATTTACCGGGACGGCGCATGCGGAGACGCGGACGAAACGGGGGTTGATGGCATGGTTAGGAATTACGGGGGGAGTATGGGTGTTGGCTTGGATTATTGGGGAGAGTGTGCCGGGGTTTAATGAGTTGTTGGGTTTGGTGAGTAGTTTGTTTGCGAGCTGGTTTACGTATGGGTTGCCGGGGGTCATGGGGTTGTGGTTACAGTGGGGGAATGGCAATGGGAATGGGAGAGGTGGGAGATGGGGGTGGTGGGGGGGTATGCTGTTTAATGCTTTGTTGGTGGCTGTGGGTGCGGTGCTTTGTGGAATGGGGGTTTGGGCGAGTGGGGTGGGGATTAGGGAGACGAGTCAAAAGGGGGGAGTTGGAGTTGTGGGTGAGGGTGAGGGTGAGTGTTTTTGCTGTGAAAATATGGAGAGGGGTTGTTGGTAGTTTAATGTTTAATTTTTAATTTTTAATCTGATTCAATTTCTGTATATCATCTCACCGAACTCCTCTCTCCCAGCAATGTTTTATGATTCAAGATAACGAATAATCATCAACAAACAGAATTCTGAGCATAATCTCTACTACAGTATTCACACACCACCATGAACCTCCTCCAAACTCAAAACATATAAATGAAATCGAAGTGAGAATTCCAATAGGCATAAAGAATCAGCATACGAATCAACAAACACCGAAATCGATTATTCCGATTGCACAAATCATAAACTCCATCGCTCTCTCTCTCTCTCTCATCTTTCATCAAGCAGAAGAATCAAGAATGATAATTTTCTCCTTCTGGGCTTTTTCAAAACTCAAGAGTAATAGACTTATATAATATCAATGCTCACTTACCTACTTGTTTACTGACTTACTTACTAATACCCCCATAGATCTCACATCTCAAATCAATCACCAGCTAAGAGAAGAGAAAAGAAAACCAGGAAAAAGTGGAATGGGAAAACATAGAAATACAGGCAACTCATTTTATTCTCATTTCATTTCGTATACTGTATTTCTATATGAAATTTCATATCCTGAAAAGCAGTTTAGGATATATGAATTAACAAATAGACAAAACTTTTCACTTCTGATTCCGGCTTCCTACCGGCAGAATCGGAGATAGAGGTAGAAATAGAGGCCGAGGTGGGTTCTCCAGTTTTGTATTTTGATTTTTCTTTGTATTGAGGGAGTTTGATTTGAGGATGTGCGTTGTACTCGAGTAGATATAGATGAACAGAATAGAAGGGAGGTCTAGACGTATACTTGTGTATGCATTTTTATCTCATGATTATATGTCTATGTTTTGACATGGCGTGATATAACAGAACACAACATAAACTTGTAGGAAGACATATCGAAGGATGATATGAAACTTTTTCAACACGGATTCCGAGAGGAAGAGAGGAAGGAAAGAGAGAGGAGGAAGGGATGTAACCCGGCATTATGATACCGAATGTGGGGTTTGATATGCATACATAGGCATTCTCTAATGTAAATTCGGTACATGAATACAGAAGAGCGAGGATTTGATTTTCCGATCTTTCACTATTGGTGATGCAACAAGGATATGAAATTGTAGAAAGACACCTACAGTCGGGGATGATTCTAAGAATTGAAGGGTACTGAATATCACCACGTCGTCAGCGAGCGACATGACAATTGAACCCCGTCGAATCGAGAAATTCCTAAAGTCCTGAACACCATACCGAGTAGCCTTATATTTTCCCCCTAGTGAAGTAAAGTATTGATATTCTACAACACATCCATCCATCCATTCATACCCACATACATGACCCCTCAACGTCGAACTATCGAACACAAAGACGAGTCATGATAAAATAGAAGTCATCATCCCTAAAGAATTTTCCTGTGAAACCACCACCATCACCACCCCTCCTCAGCATCACAATTAACACAACACCAACACCAAACCCAACGTCTGCATCCAAAAATCCTCCGAAAATCCCGCGAAATCATCACTTGATTCAGTTCCTGATTCTAGACCCATTCCCACTGCCCTCGACCTACCTTGAAGGTCTATCGAATCCTACGACAGGCAGACATATTATCTCAGCCTGTTGATATCTCAACACAGGAGGTACCTACATATGCTTATCGTTTCACAGCCTTTGCATGCATAGAAACACAATGAAAAAGAAGGAATGACCGAGTACATCACATATTCCCCTACAGAAAATGCCTCAAAACAGCGCAGAAATAAATGGACAAGGATTGAGAATCCTGACTCTTGGAAATCGTCTCGTGCGACTTCTGATACATGAGTAGTATATTTATCTACTGACTCTCACCTGATGGAAATCGCAAAATTCATGTCCTGCATATACTGCACTGCAATGCAGATTGGAAATTGAGGTAATGTATGGTGATGGATGGATGGATGGATGGATAGATAGACTGGCCGACATATTTTGATAATATTGGATTAGAATTGGAATATTGGATTCCTGAGAGTATTGAAAGGGGGAGCAATCTTTTGATCACGACATGATGCGATACATTATGATAGAATTATTGCATTGTATTGAAATTAAATGGAATGAAATAGAAATATTCAATAAATGCTGTTTGGGGGTTTTGATGGATGAGATTGAGGTTGAGGTTGAGGTTGAGGTCAAGGGAGGTGAATTGATCGATTGATGGATAAATGATTTGCTGAGTAATTGGTAGTGAGTGGAGTGACCTCGGGAGTGAGTGGAGTGAGTGGCAGTACCTATTTTCAAGAGTGGCTGAGCTCTGAGTGGCTGGGTACCTAGCCCTGGAGGTATCCAATTCCAAGGTTGTCATTACCACAATCATTGCCACAGCACAGTCAATTGAGGGATTCGACCTCGATTTAGCCAATCAGAACCGGCCAATGTCTTACTCATCGTATCAGATCTATCATCGGTTTCCTCAGAATCGAGAAGAAGTACCAAGGTATCTATCGTATACAATGGAGTAGAGACAAGAATCGGATGAGAATCCCTCTTACAGATGTATCCTGCATTATTAATCACTGTTCAGCTCCTTCTTCTACTTTTTATCAATGGGTACTCCTATGCCATATTAATTTTTCCCTGCGAAGGAAAAAAAAAGAGAGAAAGAAAAAAAAATCCTTCCATGTTGTGCTCATCCTCTCTTTCCCTCTCTCTCTCATCTGTGCTGTAATACTGCATCACGGCCGTATCTAATGTCTGTGATGGTGATGAACATTAGCGATAGCCCAGTCAAATCATCAATCCATGAAATCTATGGAATCCATGAAATGCAACAGAAACATGACTAATGCAGACAAGGTATTACTTCCGCTCTGTTGCTCCGTTCGTACTACTCACCCCTCTCCCTTCACGCCACTGCAGGTGACAAAAAGATTCCAAGCAGATGGATGCAGTGAGTGAATGATAGATAACCTAGGAGGGCTAGACTAGTCAGTCTACTTAGTCTACTTAGTCTACTTGGTCGTGTAATCGTGTAATCGTGTAGTTTACATCGGTACCTGCTTTTAGGAGTTACCTAGGTAAAGTTAGAAATAAACGCGGAATATCGTCAAGCGTTCCCGGTTACTTGACTTTGCATTTTTCATGCTGATTTATGGTTTACCAGGTAGCTATCGCACGTAGATAGAGAGATAGGGTCATACGTATGCCTGATAGCTGCAGCCGCCGAGAACTTGGGCGCTTGTTTTTCTTTTTCGACTACCTATCCTCGTAGGGTGGACACCTAGATACCTGACAGTGAAGACGGAGAAGAGACCCGGTGGACCCAAAAAGTAGATGGACGAGACCAGAAGAAAAACCCATGGATTCTTTTCCAGCCCAGTCCCCATACACATCAAATACCTCACATGAATGGTCAATCCGCTTACAACCGCATGGTACCTGAATAAGGGTAATAGCAAAGGATGCTAAATCAACCGACCAATCATCATCACATTATGCATTATCGGCAAAAGTATGGCTTTGAAACATGAAACACAGAAATGCAAGATGGGGTTCGGATGATGAAGTTTTGTTTTCCTCTTCAACGAATAGAGTTATGGAAGATAAAATCCTTTCGGGGTGTCCTACGCTCGTGCTGGGGTGAGAAAGTTGATGGAGAGATTGACTCTATGCGAATGAGACGATGGAAGAGGGAAGAGGGGAGGGTTTGGGGGTTACATGTTCCGTACATACCTAGGTAGGTAGATATCTTTGGCTCGGATGATGATCTTTGGAACGGTATTGGCAAATTGGGGTTTGAATCCTTTTGATGCTATTCGTATTTTGGCTTGCATGGTGTATGTATACATACCGTCGCGTATATGATAAAAAACGGTAATACTTACTCGTACAGTATAATTAAGATATTAGCAGTCGACAATTATCTCATCTGTCATGTCTAAAATTCCTGCCTTTAGTTTTCGCAAATCGTCATTTTTCATTACTGCAAAATTAATTAATTGTTTATTCTGCTCTGCTTTGTTTTGCGTCGCTTTGTTTTCCTTGGGAAAAATAAAAATAGTTACATTTCTTCCAAGATTCACGATTCCCTTTTCAGTCGAAGATGGAGATGGAGGGGCAAAGGAATACGATACACACAGACTGGTTTCTATCTCTCTCCAGTGTTGCATGAAGATGAACAAGCAGCTCACGTTTGTGGCTCAGTGAAACCCACAAAAACCTTCACGAGCGGCATTCAGCTGATTGGGGGATCGTGTTTTCCTCCCCCTTTTTGGATTTTAGTCGTCTTTATTTTTTGTCGTTCTTATTGCGAAAACCTGTCGGTATATGATCAATTGTTGAATTAATTGTTAAATTCTAGCCTTGTTTTATAATAATCGCATACAATTCTTCTCTTTTCATCAAAATTAAATACTCTTTCGATGTTGGCATCTCAAACCCATATCCGGAGAATTATCCATCCATACAATCAAATGTCTTGACGCCTCAGAGAAGCTGGCCCGCTTTGGTAGACCATGTACTTTATTTGGTGGAACCTATTCCATATACACACATGCAGCTACTGACCATCAGCAAGGAATGTGATCTGCCTTACTGGGCCTGGTGGGATTACGATAAAAAGCTTCGCAATTCAGGAGATCCACCACATTCCTAATTGGATCCTATCCATGCACAAACTAACGTCCCATGAATCTCGTACCTGAATTGCTCCTAAACTCTTATGGCTTGATGGACCGAGTTCAAGCGGTATGGCATATAAGATGTTGATAACTTCCTGCTCCGGTATGTTTTTGAATCATCGCATCCATCTATCAACCTTTCATTCTCTCAAGGTCCATTTGCTTGACGCAAAATACTCTCGACGAGTCATTCCTTCATTCTTGTTCTTGCCTACAATCATTCATCTTGATTCTTCACATACTACACGTTGATCTTCATCGTTAGATCTATATTCATATTCAAATTTTGAGTCAGTCGTTCAAAGTCGATTTCAATTTCACCAAC